TTGCATTTAATTCTTCAACTGTTTGAGTAATTGTGCTGAGTAAGAATGGACTTTCCTGTGCTGACTTAATTTCCGTGGAATTATTTGTAAAGTTTGGGTTAGCAAGGTGATTCGTAGTTATTTCAAACACTTCTTCGGTTTCCAAAGACGGCTGAACATCTTCTGAATTTGAAGTTGTCAAAGTAATAGTTGTAGAATTCAGATTCTCAAAAGATGTGTGAAAACCACCTATATCTATGTCTTGGGTAACTGATGTTTCCAAGGTAGATACTGGTTTTCCAGTATCTTGTTTAACCAGATTAAGAGTTAATATGTTATTTTGTATACTTTCTGGTTTTGGAGCTGGTAGCTTGACCAAGGTAGATGAATTAAGTAATTCTGTGTGTTCAGGGAGGACATCTGTATTAACTGTATTTTTCTTTAGCTCACTTGATGCAAATGATTCTTGTGCCTTGGCTTTTAAGCACACTTCTTTCTCATCTAATTTTTTCTTCTGAGATTTTTTTTTGGAAGGGTCTTTTTCCTAGAAAATAATATTTTCAAATTCTAAAGATGTCCTCACTAACCTTATTCTCTTTTTAGTCAGTGCTGAATATTTAACTATAACTTTGAGCAGTATATTGGCCAAGTAAATTAACGCAGTTAAAAAATGTTCTAAGCATATAACAACTCAAAATCACCTTAAAGTGTTTTTTTAAACAGTATTAAGCATATTCAATATATGATGGAAATATTTCAGATCAAATACCAGTAACAAAATCTTAGATCATTAACTTACATTAATAACTTAATGATTTACGTACGTTATCTTTTGTTCTTCAGTTTAAATCTTTTTAATGGTTTAAAATTTTTATATTATTATACTTTTAGTAAAAGTGTAAATTAGTCTTCCTTTTTCTTAAGTATGTTTTCCCAGCAGTCACCTTTCCCTCTCCCTCCCTTAACCTTATTACCTGCCACCCTGCAACCTACCACCCTGCTCAGCATTATCCCCCACTCCCCTATGCTCTTCCTCCAATACCTGATTGTCTTCAGGCAAAGAAAATATTGTTGGAATTGCAGTTTGTTTCAAATATCGAATACCCCATCTGATGTCAAGAGAGTCAGGAGTAAAATGGTCACTACACAGGAACTGGTATTTACTGGGTACCCATGAATCTCGTTTCATATTCTTTAACCATTTTTCAAGTCTTTCTTTGTCATGTAGAGGAAACCTGAAATTAAAAAAGGAAACTTCGCTGTATTTTTTGCAAATTCCAGGACTGCATATACAGGTAACCTATGCGTTGAATGCTGCAAAAGAGGAAAGGCAACCATCCACACCATGTAAGAGCATCTTCATAGCATTACTACATCATCTCTACAGTAAAGATGATTTAAGCTGTAAGATGTGCAGGCAAAGCTTTTCAGAAGAATGGCTGGTAGGGGTACCTGGGTGGCTCAGGCGGCTGAGCATTCGGCTCTTGATTTCTGCTCAGGTCATGATTTCGGGGTCCTAGATTGAACCCCACGTTAGGCTCTGCGCTGAGCATGGAGGCTGCTTGAAATTCTCTCTCCCTCTGCCCCTCCCCCTGCTCCTGCACATGCATACACATACACATGCTCTCTCTAAATAAGTAAAATCTTAAAAAAAATAAATAAATAAGGCTGGTAAAACATAACTTGAGTCCCTTTAAGTAAAATATGTGTGTTCCAACAAAGGATAAAATCTACTCTTATTTTCTGTGGATTATATTTTGATTTTGTTGGATATTTTGCCTAGAACTACATAAATTACAAAGTCCCATTCAAATGTATTCTATACTAATACTACAAGTCAAATGGTGTCTTGTCTGTAATTCAAGGAAGTATTAAGCTTTAGGCTCTTATTTATATTAACATTTAAAAAATAAGTTAGTTCAAACAAGTGATTTAATTGAAAATGAATACTAAATCTTATAAAACTACTAATATTCCATTCCCTTTACCACAATCAACCTCAATTCTACCCACATGTAATTTAGTTTAATATTTCTAAACTGAGAACCCTAAAATTCAAGTTTTGAAAGAAAACTGAAACAAGAACTAAACATGTTATAAAGAACACTCAGAAATTTTATAACATGAAATAAATCAAATAGAAAATACAAAGAAAGTTCTTTATATGTGTTGTTCTTTGCTGTAACTTTGCAGTAACTTTTAGAGTTGGTGCTAACACACTGAAATATATTTTATAAGCAAAATTGGGCTAATGACAGAATCTCACAGAAAACTTTTCCCTACCATTCTAAATAGGTTTCAGTTAAAACTGTATTAAACCATTAATAGTATGTTTCTTTCAATGATTTTATGAGAACAGTCTAATATCATATTTTTTAAAAATAACATAAGGTTTCTCATACAAAAAGCAGCAATTATACATACCCTCTCAATCCAGACCACTTAGTTTATGCTTTATAATAGCATGCCTCCCCCCCATCCCAGCAAATATTGACAACTTTTTAAGATGCTAAGGAAAAGGAGTATGGGTACTTTATAGGAAATAATTTTTAACCCAGATACCATTACATGGAAAAATCAGATGATCTACCTTTGGAAATTCTTACCACAGATATAATGTTCACACAGGGTTTGAAAAGTCCTTAACCTTGCACACATCAAGAATTCAGGTTATAAATATAATAGACATAACCAGAAAAGGCATTTAAAGACAAAGAGAATTTTTTCAGAAGATCCAAATTCTGATAGCCATAGAAAAGTTCATACCTTTTCTGCTACATCTAAAATGAGAATATGCCCTTTACAATATTTTCACATGTAATCTCACATATAAGGATGCTGCTTGCAAATTATTTCTATTGTTCCTATATACTACGTTACCAAACAATTAAAAAAAAAATCACTCTATGAACATCCTTGCTGGTAACTGGATTGCAATGCTTTCTCAGCAGGTAAATCTCTAAGCAATTTCCTGGAAGAGGTTTCCTAAATAACTTAGTATCCTTACAGTGGTTCATTTTGTTTTGTAATTTTGTTTCACTGTCTTATTAACTCCCAAAAAAGCATAAAATAATCACAGTATAAACACTATATGTGCACATAAGTTGAATTCCCAAATTAATATACAGTATAGCTTACTACAGTGTTAGCATTAACAAATTCAATTTTTCAAGTTTGGTGCTATTAAGGGAATAAAAGTGATTCAATTTTTAATTTGTGGATTACATACGGAAATAAACTCATAAAAGATCCACTTTCAGTAATTTCACATTTTGAGGAAAAAAATCTTTATAATTGACTTCCTCTGGCATTATTATTTTTCCTTCCTTAAAAACAGTAACTATGGAAAGATTTAAAGAATTTGGGAGTCTGGGGTTGGTTATTTCCTCCCCAAAATGAAGGCCGAATAAATCTGGGAAATGGGGCTACATCAAGTTCCACATGTTTCTTTTTTGTTTTGTTTTTTGTTTTTTGTTTTTTGTTTTTTTTTACAAATCTTCAAGAGCCACAGCTATTGATATACTAGCATTTCCCCAAAACTCTCTCTCTGCATCTCGCAGGCTTCAAGTGGGAAACTATCCCGGAAATACTGCCACATGTGAATTATTTTAGGTTATCAGGTTTCTTTCCACTAGTTAAGATAATGGAAAGCAACCGTGTCCATCAACAGCGCTTCTGATCTAAAGAAAAACAGGCTTCACAAAATAGCTGGTGAAAATCTAAGAGAGTAAAAGACGGCCAGGTTAGAGCTAAATGAATTATTTTTACAAACATGAAAAAAGGAAATAAAATATTGTAAATATGTTGATTCTCACATATATTAGGCACGTACTCAATGTCAAGTGCTGCTTTACCTATTTACACACTAAGTGAAGTAGGTACAATTTTTATCTCCACTTTACAGGTGAGAGATCTTAGGCATACAGAGTTTAAACAATTTGCAGAAGATCAGTCAGCTACAGAGTGGTGGAGCCAGGTTTTGAAGCTACTGAGTCCGGCTTTGGAGCCCGGACTCTAAATTACTACACATTACTGCTTCCCTGTTCTTCTAAATAAAAATGGGTACTTCTGTGGTTTCACGGAACTATTTCCTGGCAGTAGTAATTCGGGACAACACTCACCCTGTTCTCTGTAGGAATGAAGAGTATAGAGCCCTGAGCAGGATTGGTTGTAATCCTGGCTCTCTCACAAAACTTTCAAGGTAACCTACTTTCTGAAAGGCCTTGGTTTCCTCGGGAGAAAAATGGAATTAAGGAACACGTATGTAACTTAACTCACAGAAGGTGTAAGTAAGTTAACTGTTGGGTGCACCTTCCCGCTTGGCAGGTTTGATGTGTACCTTAAGAGGTGGTTAGTGTCCTTCAGTGACATGAGATCAGCCGAGGTGGGGAAACGCTCCGAAAACCACGGAGCACCGCACCAAACTGTACTTTTTTAGTGGGTTATTTAACACCCAAAAAGGCCCCTATGCCTCCCCACCAGCCCCGTGACCTTGCTCAGTTAGGAAATTTCTAAGTAAACTGAATTCGAGCCTTCGCGTCCTTCTCCCGCACACCAGGAGAGCCGAGGACTAATTTCCAAATACCTCAAATCCTAGCCCCGGACGCCACAGGACCGTGGCCCAAAGGTAAGGCTGACGCTTCTACTCCAGGGACAACTTACGGATAAAAACTCAGCTTCCGGTCCTTACTGTTTCGTCCCCGACGGTTCTTACAGCAGATCGCTGCGCAATAGCGAGGCATCGCTCGGGTGAGGCCCCCAAAACCGGGGCCCGCGAAGGGCCCAGTTGGCCCTCCTTGCCAAGGGTGGTGCTGCAAATCCAGGCCTCCCGAGGTACCGCGCCTGCGCCGGAATCGGCCGAGAGGAAAGACGCCACAATCGTCGACTCACTTCCGCTTCTGCAGGCTTCAGCACCGCCCTTTCTGGAGGTTGGGGTCGGAAGTGACGCACAGGCTGAGCGGCAACAACAGTTTTCCACGTGCGCGTAGGGCGCCAGGGTCAGGTGGGGAAGCAGGAGCCAATAGGGAAGCGTTTCGTGTAGGTCTTCTCGGGAGGTGGCGGCAGCAGCGGCCGCCGGCCAGTGGGGAGCGGGCTGAGAGGGGTCGCCGCGACGGCTGGAGGAGCGCTAGGTCAGTGTGCAAACGGGAGTGGGGCGCGCGCCGGCTACGGGAGGCCTCGGAGACCGGGGCGAGGGGCCGGGCCGAGCAGCTGTGCGGAGCCAGTCGTCTCCCGGCGCGTCTGCTCTGCGGAGGAGCCGCAGCCCTCGGAGGGTGCGGATGAGGGATGAGGCCGGGGTCGCGGGGAAGGGTGTTTAGAGCGTTGTCAGGGCCTCGACGGGTCTTTGTGGGCTGACCTGGCCTCGGAGTCCGCCACGGTCGTCGCAAGGGCTTCAGGCTGCCTGGTAGTGTTGAGGGTTTAGAGAAAAGGAGATGACCGAACCACAGAATAGGGCGTTTTGTGTTGGCCGCTGGCCTTTGCGGGCGTCGGACAGCTCCTCCCAGGGCTGGCCTCCCGGCAGAGAACAGCCGCGAGGGAGGCGCCTGGACGGTCAGGACGAGTATCGGTCGTCTTGGGGTGAAGGCTGGACGGTGCAGCCCAACCGGCTGTCGGCTCTGGGGAGTACGGCCCAGGCCGCCGTCCCGTGGGTCCCTTTTGGGAAGGAGAAGTCAGTATAATACGAAAGTGGGCCTACTAAAAAAGTGTCAGATGATAAACTTGAGCTGTGGAGTAACCTTTATTAAAAACCAGTAGTGTGCCTCCCTATCAGTTTTAGACCCGCCCTTTGATTAGGGAAATACCTGCAGTCTTTGTGGCGTCCACACGGTACTTGCCCGGTTTGCGTTCTTTAAACGAGGGCTTGTACTTGATCTTTAGTACCGTGACTATGAGTAACTCTGGAAAGCAGGAATCCGTCTGCTAATTAGGCTCAGAAGAGGCCACAGGAGAGGAAGGCAGGCAGTTTCCACAAACCATAGTGTCTTTCGTCAGCCTTGTTATTAGGCTTATATAGGCTAATACAGGCTTATATAGGTTATTAAGAACTCCTAAAAACAGGATCACATTCGTTTTGCATCCCAAGTCATTAAATCTGTACTCTTAGGTACAGATTTAGTGGAATTCTTAGGTAAAACTTCTTTAAGGTTAGAGAAATATTTTAATGACTACGGAGAAGTTTGAACTTAAGTATTTAACTTATCTAAAGTACAGACTATGAAAGTTTATTTTTCTGGTAGCCTTAGCAGAACCCATTTATATATATATTTTTTGGTTAAATATTTGGGATCTTACAATTAAAAAATCATTACATTCAATAGTATTGTCTATTAATATGATATTGAGATTCTCTATTTGCAATCCTTGCTGACCTTGCTGAAATGAAAGCTGAAATTGGTGCTTTCTTAGGGAGGGAGGATTACCAATCAGACATATTGGGCTGTTTACCTTGGTAATGTACTTTTTTTTTTTTTCCATGAAGTTAAATACTTTTATTTTTAATTCTCTTAGAATATGAATTCTTGAAAAGAAAATTGATATCCTTTTAAAAATTATTTGGATTTTCCACCCTTTTTACAATGTTTACAAATGATGAGTCTTTGGTATTTACTGGTAAAAAAGTTATTGAATATATTTTTGTGTCTACTCTGTGTATGACCAGAGTATTACTGAAAAGGTAAAGTGAAGAAAATTTTTTTTTCTCAATTTGGTTGAATAACATTTGCTTTTAAGAAGGTTAGAACCAACAAAGAGGTAATAAAGCCTATAAAAATGAAATAACATGGGAACAAGTACAAGATATTACATGCTTAACATTTTGATACTTCATTAAGTATACCTTGTATCCTAAAAGTTCACTGGGTTTCTTTTAAAAGAAAAAGTCTTATGATTAGCTGCATGGATAATTTTTTTTTTCTTTTTTAGGATATTAGAAATGGCTACTCCCCAGTCAGTTTTCGTCTTTGCAATCTGCATATTAATGATAACGGAATTAATTTTGGCATCAAAAAGTTACTATGATATCTTAGGTGTGCCAAAATCAGCATCAGAGCGCCAAATCAAGAAAGCATTTCATAAGTTGGCCATGAAGTACCATCCTGACAAAAATAAGAGCCCTGATGCTGAAGCAAAATTCAGAGAGATTGCAGAAGGTAAGTAAATGGCTATCTCTGAGGTCTCCCAGATACTAACTAGTAAAGGAGAATGATAGCTAAGAAGTGTGTGTATTTGGAGATACTGTGACAGTGGGTGGCAGAGTGGGGTGAACATTTAAATAAAGTGAGATTCTTGAGACTATCTTCTCATCACAATTACTTGGATTCCAGGATGGATGGATGAATGGTAGTACAAATTTTTATTGTCACATAGATCTTAAAATGTTGAAAATGTATCACTTCATTCTTCTATTGTTTATGAAATTGCTTATTGTTTCCATGTTAAAAGGAATTTTAGGTACCCAAAACTTTTAAGCTAACTTATGGAACAGTTTTTACTAAGTATGGAGATTAGATATAAAAATACTAAGTATAAAAAATTTAAATAGACTTTGAAATGTTTTGGTTTTTTTTTCTTCACTTGGTCTATATTCAAAAGCCACATTTGTCTTTGAAGGAAAAATATGAAACATTTTGATTTAATACTAGTTCTAAAACAAATTATACCTCCTGAGTGTCCAGTAATTAATGGTGGGTGGAGGTAATTGAGTAGAGAGTTGGAGTTAAACACTTCAACTAGTAAGGAAGTGAAAAATCTGAATTCTTCTTAATTGGTTATATTGGACCGTTAAATTATTTAATACAAGTAATGGTTTTACCCAAATAATATGAAAAATAACTCTGTAATTGTTTCCCACATGCTTATTTGTAAGTAATGGTAGCATTCATTTAAAAATATTTATTGGATGTTTACTAGGGGCAGGCATTATTCTAACAGCTGATACTACACAGTAAATAGGATAAAGGCCCTGCCTTTTGTTAACTTTCATTTTAACTTTTTTCTTAAGTTTGTAATGTTTTGGCTTTATTGGTGGTGTGAAATCCTTCCCTAAAATAGAGAGTTGAATTCATTTATTTGAAGAGGTTTGGGTATATGTAATTTTAATTATCTTTAGTTACTAAAGTATTTTTATTTCCTTCAGCATATGAAACACTCTCAGATGCTAATAGGCGAAAAGAGTATGATACACTTGGACACAGTGCTTTTACTAACGGTAAAGGACAAAGAGGTAGCGGAAGTTCTTTTGAGCAATCATTTAACTTCAATTTTGATGACTTATTTAAAGACTTCGGGTTTTTTGGTCAAAACCAAAACACTCGGTCCAAGAAGCATTTTGAGAATCACTTCCAGACACGCCAGGATGGTTCCAGTAGACAAAGACATCATTTCCAGGAGTTTTCTTTTGGAGGTGGACTGTTTGATGACATGTTTGAAGATATGGAGAAAATGTTTTCTTTTAGTGGTTTTGACACCACCAATCGGCATACAGTACAGACTGAAAATAGATTCCACGGATCTAGCAAGCACTGCAGGACTGTCACTCAACGAAGAGGAAATATGGTTACTACATACACTGACTGTTCAGGACAGTAGTTCACTATTTTTTGTTCTCACTAAACCCAACTAGTTGACTTTTCTTTAATATCTTTGATGCAAAACAATTTTCTGTGAACTATTTTGACAAGTGCATGATTTCACGTAACTTGATATAGATATTAAATGTATTTAAATGTTTTTTGACAAATTCAACAACACTCAGTTTAGTAGAGAAGTAGCTAATTATTAATTCTCCTGATTAGGAAAGATTCTTTAAAAAAAAGATACTATAATTCTGCCTGGTCTTTGTTCTCTACCTGCCCTTGGGCTTACTTGCGTGGCCAGTTTTATTACCAAGAAAAGATTGAGTTTGCCTGATACATATTTAAAGGTTAAACTTTGAAACTTATTGTAGATTTAAATCGTGTGAACTTGAATGGTTTTTGCAGTGAAACCTTTGCTAATTTAAAATTGCATGCTCTGCAGCATCTCTGACTTGGGTTGCTAAATGTACATGAAACTGTAATTGAGTCATTCAGCAAAGGATAGCATATCTTTTCCACTGAGAGCTTCAGAAAGGCATAATTTAATATTTACACAGAACCATACCTTTCTGTAGTAAAATTGGAGTAAAGGAAATGATTATATTGCTCATAGCCATTTAGACGGAAAGAAAGTTGAAAACTTTTGAAATATTACCAAGAGATTGTTACATGTTTGATCCCTGGCTAATGATTTTGTAGTGTTGAAATCATAGCTAATTTATACATCTTTTCACATTTCTTTCTAGTTGTTGGCGCTCTAGGTCTTACATGGATTTATGTATTTTTTGTGTGTGTGGTTCCTCTTCTTTGCACTCATCTTTATCTAGAGATTGACTAATACCTCATTCTGTTTGTAAAAACAGCCAGTAATTTCTGTGCAACCTTATTATGTGCAATATTTTTAAATCCTAAGAAATGTGTGCTTTTTTCATATAGACTTATTTCTTTAGTTCGGCACTTTTTGCATTATACTCCATATGAGTATTAATCCTATGGATACGTATTAAAACTAGTAAATGTCTCATACAACATTGTGAGGGAGAGAAATACAATATTTACAATATGATATTCTTGGTTCTCATTTTATTGGTAAAAGTTTATTCTGTAATTCTAGAGCTATGGAGGGTATATAAATAATGGGGCTGCTTATGCTGACCATAGACCACATTCCAGAAGTTACTTTTGACTAGAAAACCCTGATATGGCCTTGTTTGGTTGCCATTTGGTAATTTCTCTTTCTTTTTTTTTTTTATTATGTTAATCACCATACATTACAATTTCTCTTTCTTATCCTCCCTCCCTCACAAATTTGGTAGGTTAAAGATTTTGTTAATTATGATTTTGTTGTATTTGCTTGCTAGGAGCAAGTATTTCCTCTTTAGGCCTCATTGGGAAAAAGCAGAGACATTGCATAAAGTTATTATTTGTTAATTATAATCTTTAATTTGAAAACTGAAGAAAATGAAATTATTCTTTTAAATTTATGTATCTTAGTTATTTTCTGGAAGGTATACCTACTGCTTTTGTTTGATAATAAGAAAGTAGCCACACCTTGAATTTTGGTCTAAGGATCATCTGTAGCCTATCAAACGGAACAGATGAGGCAAGAAAAAAGCCATTTTCAAATCAGGATTAACTATGTCCCCTTTTTCTTCAGGGTCTGATTATCCCTTGTTTTTCCCATTCTAAACATTTATTTCAACCTTCCTTTTTTTTTTTTTTTTTTAATCTCCTTTTTGACACTTTGGCATAATTTTTGCAAGGAAGAAATGGACCCTGAATCCTACGCACTTAAGGTACAAACTAAATATCAAGAAGATACTTAAGTAATCTATGGGTGTGTGGTGTGTGTGTGTGTGTGGTTTGATAGATAAGCAACTGAAAATTAGACCAGTAATCAACATAGAAGTTTCCTCGATAACTTACACTTTTTCTTCTTTTTAGTCTGTACAGGTGTACAGCTAGAAAATGGAAAACTTCTATACTTAAAAAATGATCAATACAATGGCTTAATCTATACTCCCTATGCAAATCAACACATGAAATCTGTCAGTCTTTTTTTCCTTGTAGGCAAAATAGTAATATATATAACATGACTTTAGTCTTTCTCTTGAATGAATTTCTGTAATTCTCCAAGTTTTCTGGATTGACTATGCCTTGAATTGGATGCTATAGGGCATATAGTAGGCATGAGATTTTTTTTGGTGCTCTGCTCCAGAATTGGCATAATTAACTCCTGATCTGATGGTTGATCTTAGGCAATTTTGGGGCTGTGAATTTCAGTTTCAATTCTGAGATTAGTTCTATGAAAATTCAGGTTGCCCAAGGGCAACTAAAAATTTGTACATTTCTAGAGTAGTTATTTTTAATTTTCTGAAATGGAAGTTTGTTTAGGAATTAACACACTGGGGGAAGAAGAGACCGTTGCCAAACAGAATAAAGAAGATACTGGTACCACCAGTAGGATTCTAAAGTTTTTTATATTCATGTTAACGCTGGTACCTTCAATTCCAGTTAACAGATTGAATATAATCAGCCAGCCATGTTTTCCCTTTCTCTTGGTCCCAGTCACAGAAAATAAAAGAATGAAATCATAAAAGTGCTTGGAAAATGAGGAGTTTGGAGACATTCCAGGAAGGTATAAAGCAGAAGGAATTGTATTGAGAGAAAAATCAAAGGACCACAGCCAGGGTATCCTGGAGAAGTTTTAAGGCTTAGATTTGTGTGGGAGAGGATGGGAGGAGACAAAAAGAAGGGATGGGCCGATGTTCAATCATGCTAATTCATTGAAGAATTGCATTGGGAGCCCCCACCCCCACCCACCCCTTTCTTCTTTCTTCCAGGTAAACTGTTACTGAGATAGCTTTTAGGCTTTACCCTTAGGTAAAATATAACTCTTCAAAGATACAAATTATCCTATTCCCAGGGAGGCTCCCTAGTGAGGGTATTGAGGTGCCATAGAAAGTAGAGTGGGGGTAAAGTGAATTTTCACCAGGGGATGGGGAGGGTGAGTAATGGCAGCATTCCACTTCCAGAGTAAAGCCTCCTTACTTGGGCATGTGTAGGGAACAATAACTTCTGCATGCTGCCCACATACTTGTAGGTGCCTACTGGTTGAAATGTCCTGACAACTTAAACGGAACCATAGCTGTTCAAAATGGATGTCTAATGAAGGCATAGATAATAATTGCTGAGGAAACTTGCTTTTCACAGCTATCTGCATTTTGATGTAGTCCTTCATAAAAGATGTCCAAGGAATATCAGATATTTATAGAAAACCAATAACAGGGAAGAGAAACCCCAACATCCAACCCTGATGAAAAAAATATAATTCAGGAGATAATTGCAATACTAGGAGATAATTTAAAATTTTAATATTACCAGACTTTTGATAAAATATTGCATCAATGAATCAGGCATAGGTCCTTGTCTTACCTAACCTGCTTCTCCAAGATTTCTTTCCATCTGATGATGGTGTCAGAAAGGATGGATGAAGCAAGTTACATGTACATCAACTACAACAGAAGTCACTGGAAGATAACAGTAAATATGTGGTAAATATGTTCTCTACCCTGCAGGCCTTTGACCCTTCTACAAAATTCAGATTCTTCCTCTTATCTCAGGTTTGCTACTCAACCTCCTCCCCAACTTTTCTCCAGACCTTGCTCTATGGTGGAACTATCTAGTGAAGAAGAGCAGAATTTGCCACCCCAAAATATGCCTTTCAGGCATAAGAATTATTTTAGGCTGATTACTTTTCTAAAAAAACAAAACAACAACAAAAAAACTGTAGACAAGGGAGAAGCTCTGAACACCAAGAAGATGTTGCCTTTTCTAAGAGATACTGACATTTGTAAGGAAAATCTCCATTTGTAAGGGTATCTCCCTCTGTAATAGGAAGAGGAGGAAAACTAAATCTCTAGAAACTGATCAATGGAGAAGGCATGGACTTAAACCCGTGTAACAACCTTACTCTGGTTTACTGTGCTTTACCTGAAAACCTTCCAACTGTCTCACTCAACCCCAACATCTTTTGTCTTTCTCTGGAGATGGTATTTAAGGTGATAGCTTGGGCCATTTTGGAGAGTTACTCAGTTTTCCTGTGTATCTCCCATGTACACAGGAGGTATACATGTTATTAAACATCTGTTTTCTTCTAGTTAATCTCTTTTTTTACAGGGCAGGGGATGGGGGAAGAGGTGTCTCAGTCAATAACCTGGAAAGGAAGAGGGAAAATTATTTTTTACTTTACAGCAGATAATTTGTTGTGCAGTCCTATTTGTTATTCATTATAATAATGTCATAGGGTACCAATTCTTACATTCCAGTGGAAGGGAACAGGCAATAACCATAATAAGTAAGTAAATTACTATGTTAGATGATAAAGTCTATAGAAAAAATATAGCACAGAGAAGGGATATGATATTGGGAGGGTAGGCAGGCTAAGCATGTGTTGCAGTTATCAACAGGATGGTCAGTGTAGGCCTCACTGAGAAGGTGAATTTGCGTAAGTTTGAGTTGTTTGCATGGAAGATGGAAGCATGTATGACAAGTTCTAGGAACAGCAAAAAAGCCAGTGTAGCTAGAGGCCTGTGAATAAGGAAGAGTAGTTGGAGATGAGTTCATAAAGGTAGTAAGGGTAGAGAGCAGGACATATTATATAGGGCTTTTTGGCTTTTGTAAAGAATTTGGTCTTGCAATGTGATATGATAGCTGAGTTATGAGCAAATAAATGACTTCACCTTCCGTACTAAAAAAGATCATTCTAGCAGCTGTGTTGATAATGGACTGTGGAGAGACAACAGTGGAATAGGGACACCAGTTAGGCTATTTCAGCATTCCAGAATGAGAAATTGGTGCAGCTCACACAGTGCACCAGGATGATAGCAGTGGAGGTGGGGCCAAGTGTTTGGATGCCACACATAATCTGCAAGTAGAGCCAGCAGGATTTGCTTATGGTTTGGATCTAGGCATGAAAGGAGAAAAGGATGATTCCAAGCTTTGTGTTTATAGAGAACCAGAAAGATAGTCACCACGAACTAAGATGGGGAAGGCTACAGGATAAAGGCATTTAAGAAGGAAGACCAGAAGTTCAATTTGGGCATACCAGACTTTGAGACAATGTCGAGAGGGTGGCGATATGTCAGGAATTTGAAGAGAGAGCTGAGCTGGAAATGTATATTTTGGAATTGTCAAAGTACAGATGATATTTTAAACCTTGAGACTAAATGAAATCACCAAGGGAGTATTTATAAATATAAAAAGAAGCAATCTAAGAACTGAGCCCTCGGGTACTTTAAAAGTACAAGGAGAAAATGAGGAACCTACAAAGGAATATGAGAAGAAACAGCCAATGCATTTAAGAGTTTTGTGTCTTGGAAAAAAGTGAAAAGAAGTCTATCAAGAGGTAGAAAGTGGTCAGTTTTATGAAATGCTGCCCCTAGGTCCAATAAGATAATCCCTAAGAACCGACCATTGTGGGTTTTTTTTTTTTTTTTTTTTTTTTTTTTTAGCAATATAGAGGTCAGAAATGACTTTGACAAGACCAGTTTCTATCAGGTGGTAAGGGGTTCCCCCACCTGTTTGGAGCAGGTTTAAGAGAATGGCAGCCCAACTAAGTGCTTTTAAAGAAATTTAAATAATTTATAGTGAATATATTTCTGGACAGAATTTTTAACATGGATATTAGAGTTTCAATTATTGCTCCATCTGTATAGCAAATAGCTTGTATAGGATGTTAATAAGTATGTTGCAAAAAAAAAAGTGTTTAAATAATTTTGTGAAATCTAGGTTAAGAGACGTCTTGAACGTCTTGAACGTTTTTACTTCCTTTATGATTTATTCTTTACTATTAGATAGATGTTTTAACAGAGGATTGGGCTCTTCTCTTTGTATCCCCAAATAGTGGTTGAGTTTTTGTTTGAGTTAGAAACCAACCTCACTTTAAATACTGTAGAATCTTGGCATTGGTAGGTTTAACATTTATGCTTTCAACTATTTGGAACAGACCCCAGAGTTCCATAATATAGTAATTTGTGATTTTTCTAAAGTACAAAATTGAATTCTATGCCTTACCAGTCTACTATTAGGTAGAAAGCAGGCCTGGCCACCTATTCAACATCTATGTATCAACATATCTATGTATCAAAATATCTGTGGATAGTTTGTTATTATGTAGGCATTTTAAGAGGGGAATTATTTGCTACATGGTGTTCACTAAATTAGAGATCCAAGTCCCTTTCATCAAAGTTAAGGCTTTTATATTCTTTTTTTTGTGAAGATGGTTACTACCATGTCCCATTTACCTGATGCCACCTGCCTCTCTGTTCAGCCCCATCCTGCCTCTGTCAAACCTCATTTTTCCTCATTTATTTGAATACTGGCTTTGAATTTTTATCTACTGGCCTGTAGGGAGTCAAATCGACATCTGGATCATTTCCGTTAATCTTGGCCCTACCAACTAATTGCTTTCATCTTTTCCCCAACGAACCTATGCTGCTGAGGCCCCAAGGATGCCTCATGGTAGAATCTTTTTTCGGGTGTGACACCTTATGTAATTATCACTCACTAAATTAGCAGTTTAAGTCAGTACTGCAAGAACTTTCAACTATTCAATATTTTAAACTTAATTTCCTATTACTTAAATATAATTTTGCATAATAATCACTTGAAGCATTACATGATTCATTACATATATTAGGGAAAAGTCATTAAAATAAAATTCTCTGCTGATAGGTAACAATTGACTTTTGGTTACAACTAAATGTATTGACATGTAGGTAATTAAAAGTACCACAACATTTTCTTGTTTACCTTAGCATTTTCTGTATTACATATTTCATAATTAAAAATAGAATGAACCGGTGTTTGCTAATGCACAGTATTTGATTATTTGTATTCATTCTTGTCATTTAGGTAATACTGATTCTCATTCTCTGACACACAGATCAGGAATATAGGCCTAGATAGATCTGGGATATAAGATAGGGAGAAAAACATTTTTCTTTGCTTTTCAGGAAGGTTATGATCCATTCACCTCTATTTCTTCTCCTGTGTAGGTAGAGGTGAATGTTAGTTGTGATGGGCTAGTCTATGCTGCAATAATGTATTAGCTACATTCATTTTCTTAAATATTAGCAAAATAAAATATGTCTAGTGATTTTATTAGGAATACTATATATCCATAAAAGGAATACTGCTGGGTGCCTGGGTGGCTCAGTTGGTTGGGTGGCTGCCTTTGGCTTGGGTCGTGATCCCAGGGTCCTGGGATCGAGAACCGCATCAGGCTCCCTGTTCAGCAGGGAGCCTGCTTCTCCAACTCTGCCTGCCACTCCCCCTGCTTGTGCTCTCTCTCTCTCTCTCTCTCTCTCTCTGTCAAATAAGTAAAAATCTTAAAAAAAAAATGGAATACTGCTAAACTAGTTTTTTGCAGAGTGCATTATATGTGTGTTTAATGAAAGTAAGAATTCTGTAGTCAAGTATGGTAAACACTGGATTATGAAAGTTTCCTTATTATCCTAAGACTTCTCAAAGTCATTAATATGCTAATTTATGTTGGATATCTCCAAGAAACAAATACAGTTTGAGGCATTTCTAAAATCTATGACAAGAAATCCTTTTTCAAGGAGCAGCTTTCTGAACCAGTTAAGTAAAAGAATTCTGTGTGATACTCTTTGGAAACTGTGTACTAGACATATCTTTAAATCTAATTAAAGAACAAACATTTACAGAAAAGGCAAACTTCTAAAAACTTCAGTCTGAAAGCTTTCCATGAACCAGTGTTAGGACTAATGTCCCCAGAGAGCTACTGTGGGTAGTTAGAGGGAATTTATTACAAGAGTGACTTGAGAGTTATATTAAAAGTGCAAAGTACACGTGTATGGTGTTACCTTGCTTTTCTTTGTTATAAATATTAGGAAGCTCCAGATTAAAGTTGGATGTTGGTCATAAAGATAGAATACCTGTGATTATGGCAATGCATCTCAAAAGGAGTAAGAGCCCAAAAGTCCTCCTTTTCTTATTCCCAGAGTGCTGTTTGACTTCTCTGTGTTTGTTTGCCACTTGGAAATTGACATAAAAATTATGAATGTAGAAAGCCAGTATTGGAGATATTAGAAACTTCACTCAGATGGGAGAAAAATGCAAAGGCAAATGCATCCATATTCATTCTTAGCTGGAGATCTTTCTTCACTGAGGAAACTAAAGCAATCTGAAAAGAACTTCCCAAGTTTCCCATCACCCTTCTGAAGCATAAGCTCTACTTTCTGTGCCTTTGCACAAGCCCATTACCATCAAGAAACTCTTCATGTTCCCACTGAAAGCCAACCCTTCCGCTGTGCCCTGGATCATGTCACTTAGGGCATTCAATACATTGCTCCAGAAATTCTTCCCTTCTTATCAAGATTTGCTTTCCATTCAGTTATTCCCATGAACAAACTTATTGTTATTTCTCCCACATTAAAAACAAATTCTTGACTCCACTTTGTCAACCAATTGCTGTCTCATATGTCTACTTCTTTGGAGAAGTTTTGCTATACCACTGTACCCACACTTTCTTGTCAGTGTTCTCTTGTTGATGAGCTCCACTTTGCAAAATTGATGTCAAATAACAAATAAAATGATCATTTTTCAGGCCTAATCTTAAACACAGTTCAACACTCTCCTCCTTAATATTCTTTCCTCACCTAGCTATCAGAATACAAACGCTCAGTCTTTCTTGTCCCTCATTGGTTGCTCCTTTGCAGTCTCTTGTTGATTCTTCTTGTCCTTTGCATCTTAGCCCTGGTTCTTCCCTCCTTTCCACTTCTTTCTTTTTCTCTTTCCTCTTCTTCCTTTTCCTTCCCATTTCTTTCTTCTGTTGTCTTCTTATTATACTTCTTACTTATATGTCCTCTTTTCATGGTTTTAAAACTGTCAATATACCTGCCATTTCCAAATTTCTACCTCCAATCCAGATCTCTCCTAAACGCCATATATTCAACTATCTAAAGTACAACTCCTGTCAACACATCCAAAATGCAATTTGTGATATTCGAAATGAAATCTGCTCCATTTCGGCTGATTGCAAATCCATCCTTCCAGTTGCTTATGTTGAAACCTTGGAGTGACTTGATTCCTTTTATGCTCTTGTACTCACACCCCATAGTCAGTCCTACTGGCTATACCTTCAAACTGTTTCCAGAATCTCACAACTTTCTATCACCCTCAATGCAAATATCATTATCATCTCATATGGATTATCAAGTAAAGGTAAATTTCCATCCTTTACCCCTTATAGTCTGTTATCAAACCAGCAATTAGTATTATTCTGGTAAGATACATCAGAGCTTATTATTTCTCTACCAAAAGCTTTTTATTTACCCGCTTCTCATTTACAGTAAAAGCTAAATCCTTTATGATGGTCTGTGAAGTCCTGTGCAATCATCCCACCTCTCCCCCTTAATTCACTAATTCTATCCCCTTGTTCACTCTGTTCCTGCCAGATTGGACTCCTCACTCCTCCAGGAACATGCCAGGCATGCTTCTTCTTTGGGGCTTTTGCACTAGTCGTTTCCTCTAGTTTGGGCTCTTCTGCCCTAGCGCCAACCCTTTTACCCTCTTCCAGTCTTGGCCCAAATGTTACTCTTTCAGTGGACTTCCTGGGCCGTCCTATTTAATACCACACCGTGTCCATCCTCCTCTGCACTCCTTATCTTTTTCATCTCCATTTTTTTTCCGCAGCACTTATTTACTTACTTAGTATATTATTATCTGTTTCCTCTCGATAGAATAGAAGTTCTATTAGGATAGGAATCTCTGTTTTGTTTACTGGGCATCTTAAGTGCCTAGATCTATGACTGCCATAGAGTGAATACTCAATAAATAGTGAATGAAAGAATGAATTTGACATCCTACACAAGGCACATATCTCGGCAATTTGATTTTCTGAAACATTACAGAATCCTTCATCTCATAAAAGATTAATCTGAATAGAGCTATTTTGACTATACTAAATAAGAGTGACATCTCTTGATAAAGATATTGAGAATCGGACAGTCATCCAGCAATTTTTTTTATCCCAAGTAATATCTCTCTTGTTATTAATTTTTTCTCATTTTTTGTCAGACATTTTAGTGTTAGAAAATAATTTTTTGTTCATATACCATGTCCAAACTGTCAGAGATACTGTCTCATGAGAAATTTTTCTTGAAAGGAAATAAAAATCAGTCTATATATGGATGCTGTGGCTTTTTAGATACTCAGATAACTAGGATACTGCCCCTCAGTTATAAGAAGATCAAAGGGGAACTTGAGAAAAACTCACTGAGTTAAGTTAAAGTCAAGGGCGCCTGGGTGGCTCAGTCATTAAGCATCTGCCTTTGGCTCAGGTCATGATCCCAGGGTCCTGGGATCGAGCCCCGCGTCGGGCTCCCTGCTCCGCGGGAAGCCTGCTTCTCCCTCTCCCACTCCCCCTGCTGGTGTTCCCTCTCTTGCTGTCTCTCTCTCTCTCTCTCTCTCTCTGTCAAATAAACAAAATCTTCAGAAAAAAAAAAAAGTTAAAGTCAAGTGTTAACTCTTTTTATATAGACATTCTTTCCTGAATAGGGTTGTGGGAACTATCTTTTAAAAACCCTTAAAAGAATCCTCCTCCTCCCAGCCCCTTTGAGCTGTGTGTCTTGCCATAGGCACCCAAACATATCATTTACATTTCATTTTAAAGCCATAATAAATAGTGTAGTGATAATTTCCCCTATTTGGTAATTATAAACAAAA